TTTGCGAATTTGTGGAAAAAAACCCAGTAAAGACGAACTATTCCATCGTGGAAACTTTGTTACTAACTACTCCTTCAGGAGCGAAAATGCAATTTTAAAAGACTGGCTGATGTTGGAGGCAATGCCTTCAGATGTCAAAGATACAGATGTCTACAACTACTTTGTGTTGAGCAGGTAAAATTTATTCCTAATTATTTAAAAACCACTCTGTAATGTTAAAGAGCTGTTAGCAGTGCTACAATTATTTTCAACAATACTACAGACGACATACTATGATAATACAATAACACTAGTATAACTTATAATTGGCCTACTAAACTAAGTCTAATACTAAGCCCAGATGTATATTATAATAATTATATAGTATAGACTACTGTAATTAAGGCATTAAGGTACTAAATAAATGATTAAATGATTAATTAGTGACCTAATAATAATAATATTTGACAGTCTACACTACAGTAAACACTTTTATTTTTATTGTCATCATTCATTATAAAAAAAAAAATTGCCTACCAGACAAGTATATAGATCTATTTATAAACTAGTGTTAGTAATTAGGCTTTAATAGGCCTAATGTTAATTGTGTTTAAAAAAGGAAGTGTTTATTGGTAGTTCACTACCAATAGCTACTAGTGAGCTATTGGTAGTCCAGCCAATCAAATCAAACCAAACCAGAAATTTAAAAACCTGCTTTCTATGACGAGGGTGAAGCAATGCCTCGTTCATTTTTTACTAGTTTGTACTAGTGACAACACCTGAAATGAATCCTGAAAGTGTTTTAGCTGCAAATTGCCATTTTGATACATTCAAAGATTTGGAAAATGCCATCAAAGCTTTAGAAGTAGAAGAGCTTCAAAATGCTGTCTTTATAAAAAAAGAGTTCTAAAAAGGTAAGCCTATCTTAATATCTAACTATCTTTATTTATTGCTTTTACAATTTATTTATTGTTATAAAGTGCTTTTTTAAAAAATAGATTTATAGATATATTATTATATAGTTTAAGTATAATAGTAATTTCATTAGTAAAAGTTAAGGACGACTGCCACTATTTTATCGAATATCACGAATGTATCCCTAGATCGATTTCTATGCCTAACCTGAACCCTAGATCGATTTCTATGCCTAACCTGAACCCTAGATCAATCCCTATACCTAACCTGAACCCTAGATCGATCCCTATGCTTAACCTGAACCCTAGATCGATCCCTATGCATAACCTGAACCCTAAATCGATCTCTCAACCTAACCTAAACCCTAATTTACTGCAACTATAATAAACACCCAAATGATGCCGTGGCAGCTGTCCTTAACATTATCCATAATTTCATACAATATACATGTATTATAATTATAATGTATTCATTTGTTTTATTAAATTTAGCTACCAGCTACGAATGGATCCATTGAGTATGAGACTCTGGTTTACCAGTTCATACTCTATGAATGCAAGCATGGCACAGAGAGGGCGTAAAAATCAAAGGGCTTGCGACCTAACCAGAGGTGTGTTCTTTTTTAGAATGTTACTGTTAAATAATATACAAGTTAAGAACTTGTTAAAACTATCTGCTACACTTTAAATGACCATAGTTAATGTTATTTAAAACAGTTTATTTATTTTATAGGTCATTAAAACTAGGGTGTCCAGCCAAATTGAAAGTTAAAATGGTTAAA